ATAGTCTCATAAATAGTCATAAATAGTCATAAATAGTCATAAATAGTCATAAATAGTCCATAAATAGTCATAAATAGTCATAAATAGTCATAAATAGTCATAAATAGTCATAAATAGTCAGTCATATATAGTCATAAATAGTCATAAAGAGTCATAAAGAGTCATAAATAATCATATATAATCATAAATAGTCATAAATAGTCATAAATAGTCATAAATAATTATAAATAGTCATAAATAGTCATAAATAGTCATAAATAGTCATAAATAGTCATAAATAGTCATAAATAGTCATAAATAGTCATAAATAGTCATAAATAGTCATAAATAGTCATAAATAGTCATAAATAGTCATAAATAGTCATAAATAGTCATAAATAGTCCTTAATAGTCATAACTAGTCATAAAGTATAATAGTCATAAATAGTCATAAATAGTCATAAATAGTCATAAATAGTCATAAATAGTCATAAATAGTCATAAATAGTCATAAATAGTCATAAATAGTCATAAATAGTCATAAATAGTCATAAATAGTCATAAATAGTCATAAATAGTCATAAATAGTCATAAATAATCATAAATAGTCATAAATAGTCATAAGTGGTCATAAATAGTCATAAATAGTCATAATTATTCAAAAATAGTCATAAATAGTCATAAATGGTCATAAATGGTCATAAATAGTCATAAGTAGTCATAAATAGTCATAAATAGTCATAAATAGTCATAAATTGTCATAAATTGTCATAAATTGTCATAAATTGTCATTAATTGTCATAAATTGTCATAAATTGTCATAAATTGTCATAAATTGTCATAAATTGTCATAAATTGTCATAAATTGTTATAAATTGTCATAAATTGTCATAAATTGTCATAAATTGTCATAAATTGTCATAAATTGTCATAAATTGTCATAAATTGTCATAAATTGTCATAAATTGTCATAAATTGTCATAAATTGTCATAAATTGTCATAAATTGTCATAAATTGTCATAAATTGTCATAAATTGTCATAAATTGTCATAAATTGTCATAAATTGTCATAAATTGTCATAAATTGTCATAAATTGTCATAAATTGTCATAAATTGTCATAAATTGTCATAAATTGTCATAAATTGTCATAAATTATCATAAATTGTCATAAATTGTCATAAATTGTCATAAATTGTCATAAATTGTCATAAATTGTCATAAATTGTCATAAATTGTCATAAATTGTCATAAATTGTCATAAATTGTCATAAATTGTCATAAATTGTCATAAATTGTCATAAATTGTCATAAATTGTCATAAATTGTCATAATAGTCATAAATAGTCATAAATTGTCATAAATTGTCATAAATAGTCATAAATAGTCATAAATAGTCATAAATAGTCATAAATAGTCATAAATAGTCATAAATAGTCATAAATAGTCATAAATAGTCATACACAGTCATAAATAGTAATAAATAGTAATAAATAGTCATAAATAGTCATAAATAGTCATAAATAGTAATAAATAGTCATAAATAGTAATAAATAGTCATAAATAGTCATAAATAGTCATAAATAGTCATAAATAGTCATAAATAGTCATAAATAGTCATAAATAGTCATAAATAGTCATAAATAGTCATACATAGTCATAAATATGCATAAATAGTCATAAATAGTCATAAATAGTCATAAATAGTCATAAATAGTCATACATAGTCATAAATATGCATAAATAGTCATAAATAGTCATAAATAGTCATAAATAGTCATAAATAGTCATAAATAGTCATAAATAGTCATAAATAGTCATAAATAGTCATAAATAGTCATAAATAGTCATAAATAGTCATAAATAGTCATAAATAGCCATAAATAGTCATAAATAGTCATAATTAGTCATACATAGTCATAAATAGTCATAAATAGTCATAAATAGTAATAAATAGTAATAAATAGTCATAAATAGATAAATAGTCATAAATAGTCATAAATAGTCATAAATAGTCATAAATAGTCATAAATAGTCATAAATAGTCAAAAATAGTCATGAATAGTCATAAATAGTCATAAATAGTCATAAATACTCATAAATAGTCATATTAGAGACAGTCTAGACAATTCATAATGCTATTTGAAAAAAATTATAATAAACTCACCAGCTGGTTTGGTTTGTGTTTCAGCCTGGAGAAGAATCTTGCAGTTGCGTAGATTGCCATCTGAGTTGCGTTGGCGGTCAATACGGTCCAATCGAAAAAATACATTTGATATTTGGGACGATTGAGATTGTCGGTTTCATTTTGGCCTGTATTGTACTCACTTTAGGATTAGCTTCTACATTTTTTATGATCCTATTAAGGAAGCATATATGGGTGATCAAGAAGCAGTTACTAACTGATGAAAGTTGCTGCGGTAAGTAAAGTGATACGTAAAAAATATTTATGAAGTACCTAGGTCATGTCGGAGTGTATATTGTTCTTCTTTTCTAAATATGACATCATGGACATGACTTGTATGTTTGCGGTTATGGGTTACTTAAAAAATGTGTGGATCACTTTTCAATATAGGACCAGGGGCCCTATTCTCGAATGTCTATTTCTAAATGTCACACGCGACATTGAAGAAATGTCGAACAAGAACGCAAAAACGTATTCTCGAATGGCGAATTCGACATTTGCAGTTAGACATAAAGTCGAGTGGTATCTCTCTGTATCTGTAGCGTGTGGAGGGTGGGTTACCCCCACGGCATTTAGGCCTCATTAGGCCCATTGTGCATCCTCCTAAGATGATAGGCACCTCCTAGCTCGTCAGCCAGCCTACAGATTTAATGTAGTTGACAACGTCGCCAAGAGGTGCTTCTCTTATATCGGCCGGTGTTAGCCGATACTCGCCGAACACAAATCTTCTAATAAATGAGAGCGTCGGGTAATTGTAAAGGATATGCTCGATGGTCTTATCTTCTTGTTCGCACCCTCTGCAGAATGCGGATTCTGACAGCCTCATGATATGGAGATGCTTCCGTACTTGGCAATGACCAGTCAGAATGCCTGTGACCAGACGCAGATTCTGTTTAGTCATAGTCAAGTATTTGTTTGCTGCAGTGTTGTCAGGAGCTTCCTGGCAACTCTGCAGTTTCTTTTTTCATCCCATCTTTCCTTGAATTTTACAAGGTAATGTTATTTGATTAGGTCTGTCACTACCGATTTTGTCAGGCCAATAGAAGGGCCAGGTTCAAAAAGTATTTGGTTGGCTGCTTTCTTGGCTAGTGAATCGGCAAGACGGTTACCTTTCGATGTGGCGTGACCTTTGATCCATCTTAAGGTGACCACATTGTTGATGGATACTTCGGCCGAAGCTTCATGACATTCTACTACTAACCCTGAATAAATTCGTGGTCTGTTCAGGATGAGTAGTGCTTGTCTGCTATCTGTATAGATGAGCATGTTCCTTCCAGTGAGTCGAGTGGTATTTAAGTGGTCGACATTTTAATGTCGCATACGTTTTTAAAGATAATTTTACAATATAAGTGTTGTGACAGTAACAATTTATGTTTATTTTCAAGAGAAATAAAAATAAGTATTGCATAAATTGTTTTTAAAAATATATTATTTAATTATTTACAATTTTACATAATTTGTCAATCATTGGTCCTGTGTGTCCAAGAGATTTAATCCCTGTCATTATGAAATTTATATAGCTCTATTTTTCAAATTGCATATTTCTTTTTCTTTCTATTTATTCTCTTGCCAAATTTCACTTCCAATTTTCTATTTAATCCCTTATTAAATTTCAGTTAAAAAGATTATATGATATTTTCTCTACTTTCTAATTAGAATTTATCAAAAAGATATATATTCGGGTTATATTTTCAGTATTATTTTGTATTCCTAAGAGATCCTTCAAGTAATTGTGTGCTGTAATATACTCTTCTTGTATGTTTCTATTCAATGTTGTCAGATATTACCATTCGTTAAATATGTCACTGATGTTAAAATGTCGATTGTAAGTCGATCAACTTTTTGATAGACATTCGAGAATAAGGCCCCAGGAATGAAATGTCGACTAATTTCAAGAAAGCATTTTTCTTAAAAGACTGCTAAGATTTTATTTTTATATTTTCAGAATCGTTTTGTGCAAGAATCAATAAGAAAACTGCATCCATTGAAAAAACGCTGGAAGAATGTTTTTATGTTCTAGGAACGAGTAAGCAAACATATTTTGCCTTTAATTCCATCTTTAAGACACTTTTTCAATAGTAAAAAGTATAGCTGTAATATAGCAATATGCCGTGTCTTTTATTCAAAGTCGTCTTCAATTACATTGTTCATGATATTAACGTTAACTGTTTACTATACAGGGTGTCCAGAAACGCTCTTCAAAGAATAAAACCACGAAATCTGGAGCTAATTTTATGACGATTTAGCATTAATTACCTTAATTCAAAAATGCTTCCTAAGGGAGCTAGAGCTTTTTGAAGATAGCGCTCTAAAATCGGTTTAACTGAAATACCTTCAAAACAAATTTTTATTAAATGATATTATTCTATACATTTATTTATTTGAATCTAACCAATCAAATTTCGTAAATAAGATTTTTTTAATGTAGTCATAAGCGGCTCGTTTGGGTGGGGTACTGGATATTTTTCTTTTTTTTTTTCTTTTAAAAATTCGCCATTTTGAAATCATATTTAAAAAGTTTCGTTATTTTCACACAAAAATGATGTCTCCATGACAATCAGTTTTCGGGAAATATCGACTTAAACTTTTCATGTTTCCATTGACTAACAAATAGGGACCGTGTGTGAAATATAGAGGCAGCACTACTGCTGAAGTTAGCCCTCTCTAGTGTTTAATTTTAGAATTAAATGGGGTAAACATTGCAAGTAATAATTAAAGGATATTTTTTAAAAGATTAAATATAGTTAAATATAGATACCGGCCCGTAACAAACAATCGTATACATGGTCAAAATGATATAAAATGTGAAATATTATTAAAATCTGGACATGTATATAAATTTTGAGGAAAAGATTTAAATGGTTAAGTGACAATAAATTGTAAAGTTGTACTTCAAGCAAGTGTATCCAATGTTAAAATATCGGTATTTAGTAACCCTGAATTTAAAAGTATTATAATAACATTTTAAAAATGTAAATTAATAAAAAAGATTGAGAATAATAATAATAATAGGGGGTGGGTGGCTCAGTGGTAGAGTCTCTGCCTGTGGATCCAAGGGTCCCAGGTTCTAATCCCACCGTTGGCCGGAATTTTTTCATTTAATTTAATTATTTAAAATTAATTCTGATGCCTTGGTAGTATTCCCCACTCGACCATTCACTGTTGGGTTCTAATTAACAGTGCTGTTCCTAAAGTGGCGCTGGGAAACAGTAACAAAGCCTACACAGAACACGAGGCAAAATAACCTTAGCAGTTGAAGCCGATGACACACCAAAAAAAAAATAATAATAATAATAATTCTTTTTAGTTTTTAGTCGAAATGTCATTCATCTAACTTAGACCAAAGTATATTAACCGTTGAGTAGCGACATAAAGCGTCGGTGCTTTTGATCTTGGGTGGTACAAATTTTCTTTCTCTCTCTTTTGACGTTTTGACGGAACGACACAGTAAAACACTGCTCGAATTATGAAGTGGTCTTGAATGTGATGTTTACACTGCTCGACGTAATTTGAAGTAAAACTCTTTCGTAGTTTACATTTATAATAAACGTTTGGTCATTAGGCAGTTTTATATTCACGAGTATTTAACTTATGTAGTAAATATAAAAATATATATCACTTATAGCACATGCATTTCCTGGCATAATGAAAAACCCATAAAACCTCAAAAATCTTAACAAAAACACAATAAAAGAGCACTAATAAATCCACAACAACGAATTCATATATCAGCTGCCGGACTAAAGTGAAAGGGGTTGTTTACATCTTTAGAAGACGTCTCGCCTCTCTATTTCGCGTCGGCGCACTAGAATTCGGTTCCCCAGCTGTCGCTACTCAACGGTTAAGGTTTATATGGACCCCCGGAAAAAGTATCTACACGTTCAAAATTTTTGAAAAAATGTGTGAATGTATATACAACCTTAAGTATTCTTTTACCAAAATTTGATCCGGTTTGTATCATTTGTTCTCAAGAAAAATCGGAAAATTTACTTTTTTACAAGTATAAAACAAAGGAACTAGACTATCAAGAGAGATCATTATTTCATAAAATAAATTAGTTTTGGTTAAGAAACTTACATAAATTTTTTGAAAATGTTTGAACTTGCAGAAATGACGTAATTGAAGAAAATATTTATTTTATTAACAAAAATTAGATTTAAACTATAAAAATGAATGTAATATTAAAGAATATACCTTCAATAATTATATTTAAAGACATTGACCTCAAAACATTATTAAGTTTTTTATAAATTTAGTGAAAAATTCAATTAAACAATAACACTATTTTGAATTTTCTCTTTCAAAGTCTTATCTCTGAGAGGTGCTGCCATCTCAATTAGTACTTTCTAAAATTGCTCACAGAGAGCACTAAATTTCCTACTCAAACAGAAATTTCGGATGTCCGCGTACACCAACGCTACCGTGTTGCCAGATCGAGTTGTATTACTAAGTTCGTTGGATTAAATAAATATTTTTCTATTAATAATTCGATCGATGCAAACGTACCTATTCATTTTACAGAATATTTGAATTATTTAATTATTAAATGAAAGGTACATTCTGAATGATGCATGTGTTTTATCAATTAAAAAAGTTGAACAGATGTTTACCAAATATCAGGATCATGTTAATTGCATGTTGATTAGTTTTTGGTAGAAATTGGATCGTAGGACGATATTTAAGAAGGTTGGCAAGTAAAAAAAAATTGATTTTGAAATTAAAACAACAGGTATTTAGTAATGACATTTTTTCTGTTAAAAAATATAAATTCGTAAAAATCTGATTGGCTCAAAAACCATATTACCTTAGTAGGTATTTCATATTTTTTTTAACTAAAATTATTATTATAAATAAATTTATTAAATATACCTTTTAAAAATTCTTATTGATCCTACAAAAAATAAATCATTGCTAAACATTTACTTAGTAAAAATAGTTATGGTTTTCCTAAGGAACAATTTTTTTCCATCAGCAGTAGTAGAACAAAAGTATTTAACATGTTTTTGTGCATTTAATAGTGCAAATTCTCGAGCTGAGTAAAAACACTTTACTTAAAAATTTTTAGCATCATCTACCAATCCATCCGGTGAAGTTCCTAAGAAACGATAACATTTTTCTTAAAAGATGAATAAACCACATTCAACAACTGTATTCTTTGTAATAGAAGCATATGTTTCAATTGCAACATTTTCGTTAAGTTTAACATCTATATCTGTAACGTGTGGAGGGTGGGTTAACCCACGGCACTTAGGCCTTACTAAACCCATTTTGCATCTTCCTAAATAGATCGGCACCTCCTAGCTCGTGAGCCAGCCTACAGATATAATGTAGTTGACAATATTGCCAAAAGGTGCCTTTCTTATATCGGCTGGTGTTAGCCAATTATCAACGAATACAAATCATTTAATAAATGTGAGTATCGATCACTTGTAGACGATATACTCGATGATATCATCTTTTTGTTTGCACCCTTTGCAGAGTGCGGATTCTGCCAGCCCCATGACATGGAGATGCTTCCCTACTTGGCAGTGACCCGTCAGAATGTCTGTGATCAGGCATCTAGTGATAGTCAAGTATTTGTTTGCTCTAGTTTTGTCAGTATAACATGAAAGCTCCCTGCAGCTTCTTGTTTTATTCAATATTTCTTTGAACTTCACAAGGGAATATTCTTTAATTAGGTCTGTCACTACCGATTTTGTCAGGCCAATAGTAGGGTCAGGTCCAAAAAGTATTTGGTTGGCTGCCTGCTTGGCTAGTGAATCAGCAAGACAATTACCTTTCAATGTGACGTGACCCTTGATCCATCTTAAGTTAAACACAATATTAATGGATACTTTGGCCAAAGCTTCATGACATTCTAATACCAACCCTGAGTAAATTCGTGGTCTGTCCAGGGGAAGTACAGCATGTCTGCTATCTGTATAGATGGCATGTTCCTTCCAGTAATATTGTTTCTTGTGATTTCTTTTGCTGCTATGAGAATTCCCATGAGCTCAATTTGAACTACACTGGCATTACTGCTCACAGCCCATTTTATGTTTAGGTTTAAAGATGTGAAGTATATTCCACATCCTAAGCCTTGTTTTGTTTTAGAACCATTGTTGTAGGTATGAATCGTACCTGCCTCTTCCGACTCTTCGATTTGTTTTGTTATAACTTTAATATTATTGTCACGCTTCGTATAAATTCACATTTTTCCAAATTTTAATTATTTATTTAAATAATATCATGTACAAAATTGATTATTTAATAATTATTAAATATTAGTTTAATAACAATAAACTATGCAGAAGTTATAAAGGTAACCTCAAAGAGACACACAGGGCGTTTTCCACAATAGAGGATCCTCTTCATCGGGTTCATAAGAGAGCATCCCTGTAGGATATTCCCAGTAACGGTTCCTGATCACTAAGACTTCGACCAAAGGCTCTGGATCTCCATCGTAGAAAATGAAAAGTCCTTTTTTATTTTAAATCGCGGTTTTAACAAATTGTTGTTACATGTGTCGCAGATATTGCAGTTGGTAAGCTAAATTGTTTTAAAGATAGTGTTTGTCCATATTTGTGTATGTTCAGCTGTGAAGTATTTTGTAGAATTGTTTTGTTGCACAGAAATTGTTAGCCCTTAAGGTAATGGAAGAGGCATAATTTACAATTAATATTCCCGGGTAAAGCAGTCTAGTCCAAACAGTCAATCATTGTGGTTATGTTTGTACTACTGTTGCCTAGAACAACGTGTTATTCGGCTTATATCTTAAAACTCATAAATTGCCAAATATCTAATAGAAATACTATTTGTTTTAAGAAAACATTGTGATTTTTCAGCCCTTTTACAGAGACGTGTTAGATCCTAATGTCGAGAGTAGGACGCTGATTCAGTTAAGGGCTACGAAGTCAAGTTCAAGGCAATATGATTAAGGCTCTAGTGATATAATTATTGAATGGTCACCCCTAAATTCATTAATTGTGACATATTTTATTAAGAAACATGCAAAACGTGAGAATATTAAAAGAAGAAATACCCAAT